ATAGTCTAAACTATATGAATCAGGGGACCTGGATCGCCAAGATTGAGCTCCCCCTAGTCCTATCCAGCGATTTGTAAACGCATCATTTGGAAATTCCCTAGTATGAATGCCAAAACGTACAGGAGCACCATCATGCATGTTCCACATTTCTTGATACGATTTGGATACCCCTTTTGATATAGACGCCAAGCCATAATTTTTTTCACGTCAGTAAGTCTGTAGGTAAAGTGCATATCTGCTAACTCGGAATTTGTAAATCTTGGCATAGTGTACTTGTTTTCTTTTTCTTTCTTGTTTATGCATAATTGCCAAAGTAAGACCGCAAGGTAACAGATCAAACGTCATTATTTTGGAAAAAATAGGGCTGCAGCCCACTAGTTCAAAATAATTTCGTTATACCACAAATCCATAAAAATGGTTTTTAATTTTTTACTCTAAAACGGTGCAACGGACGAGGCTTTCAAGAATTTTGAATATTTGGAAACAACAATGGCGTACCATATTTTTTTAAATCTCCAGTATGATTTCCATACGAATGCCACTGGTAGAAATATCAAAAAATACTCGACATCAAAAAATGCTTATTGGTGCTTAGTAGGTGCGTGCTAAATTATATAAGTATAATAATAATAATAATCCTCATTTTGTCCAAATATCTTCTGGTCCATTTTATGCCTCCAATAGAAACAAATAACACGGGTATATCGTCTAAAAATGGTCCATGCTGGTCTGACCAGGTAGACAAGGAGGGTTATCAGCATGAAAGCCATAGGATAAGTTGAACTGTTACAATATCCAAAAAGCTTATCCAGCAATTTATACTATTCGTCATTTATTTGTCTGGGCGGTCCGTAGGACCTTTGCCCATTAGTCACTGTCTAATGTACGTTAGTCGAATCTGTCAGTCCTGGTTGCCCAGAAACCAGACAATGTCAAGGAACCAACAATTTGTGTAGGCACCAGTTGACAGCACCATCAGCCCAATAGAAACAGGTATGTTAGCGTTTTTATTACAGCCTAACTAACAGCTGTTCATTCAAGATCAAGTCATAATTTCTGTAGGGCGCAATATTGTAATTTGTACATACGCTGATATTCTATGTTACAACAATGTACTGTGATGTATAAATAGATTTAAGTTATTGTAGTTTAATAATTAAATTAAATTTTGAAGTGTAACTAAAATTATCTTAGATGAAAGGTGAATACTCTGTGGTGGACAACCCGTATTGAAATATATAGTTACTGATAATATTTTGTGGTCTCAATTTATTATAGAATAAACGTGTAAAGATGATTTTAAATTTAAAGTTAAAATATAGTCATTAATATTAATGAAACACAAAGGGGTTACTACTCTTATTCGATATAAGCATATTATATTATGGCTGGTATATAAATAATATAAATAAACTATGTACAATCAAATAGATAGTTGATAAAATACGTATATAAGGCAGCTGCAGAATATTATGAGATTTAATATGGCAGATGTAAGCTTCGAAGACATGTAAATATTGAGTCTGTCTATATAACTTCCAACTACTTCTTATCTTTGTACAATTAGAACTTCAAACTTTTCATATTAAGTGTATTTTGTTGAGTAGGCGGATTCGAGTGAAATATAACTTTGCAATGTCACGATATTACTATGGTCCGACCGAGGCTTGTACTTCAGCTTCGACGTCGAACTTGGTAGAAGGTTTGGCCGATGTCTGGAGGTTTTGGAAAATGTGTAATCATGAGAAGTTTTCCGAATATATCGCTTACTGGGGAATCCAAAAGCGTATATAGTATTTGTCAACGATATAAGTACTACTTACTTATAAATATTTTAGCTACTAGCTCGTACAAGTATATACGAAGATAAAAGAACCAGTTTACCCTGTGGTCTTGGAATGCTACTGTTTTTCATCACCGAAAACCTATTAGTTCATTAGTTTTCGTCAAAAATTCACTTCATAGTTATTGGTAAAATCAACCTGATGTATTTGGCTTAACCAATTATCAAAAAATAAAATAGCTCAAACGCTTCTTCTAAAATTTACTTTATTTTAAAAATGTTTCATGGTACCGAGTATTTCATAAATATATGATTATGCAGCTGTATTTGTATTCCTTTTTAAATGGAGTTTTTTAATGCATACAGGGTGTGACAAAGTCAAAGAGCAAGCGAAAGGTGGTGATATGGGAGACCATTTGCAATCATAAAATCTATGTATGTATGTCTTTATCCGTTTTGTTATTTTCCACTCAGATTTACAGAACTGGTTCGTAAATGATGTGTTACAAAAAGAAAAACTATAAGTGAAAATTTAGTACAGTTAATGTAGGTACAGCAATCGGCACATTCAACGAGGCCCGTACAAAAAAATAGTTAGCGAATAAAGTGTCCATAAAGATGAAAAACTTCTCAATACTGTGGCCTAAAATACCTACTTGATAATCAAACATCCTAAACATTTTTAGCTCAATGTAGACAAAATACTGCAGGTACCCTAAATCCGGATATTCCCATTCTCTAAACTTAACCCTTAAGCTGCCGATGTTGTTCTTTCAGCTCTTGAATATGATGGCAAAACAGTTAGGGGACGTGCTGCCGAAGAGTATCTAAACCGATATTCCCGTAGAGCAAATTTTCCAGACCATCGTCCATTTATTCGTGTACGTAGTGCCTATGCAGCAGGAGAAATGCCTGGTATACCAGTAAGAACAGGAACGCCGAGGATCAGAGTAGATGCTGAAGATGTAGTAGGTACTTCAGATAACTAAAAATGCGCCTTCTAGCAGCGTGCGAAATGTTTCGCGGAATGCTAGGTCGACAGTACGCCGAATTCTACACAGAGAGCGGCTGCATCCGTTTCACATTCAACGTGTGCATGCGCTTCTTTCAGAAGAATACCCAATGAGAGTCTAGGTTTGCAGGAGGATTCTAGAAAGACTACAGAAATGACTCGTCGTTGTACATAAAAATCTTATAGACGGACGAAGCTTATTTCCAAAGGATAGGAATTTATAAAACAGCACATATTAAGGCCGATGGATAGGGCGAGGACGAACCATAACCAGTCCGCCTCGCCCACCAGATCTCATCTTTATCGATTTCTTTATATGGGGTCATTTGAAAAAAATAGTGTTTTTGACGAAACTCCGACCGTACAAGCATTAAGAGACTGGATTGTTACTGTGAGCAACAGTCTCCACAGTAATCAATGCAGACCTTGCATTAGAGCAAAAGGAACATCTCCTGTAAATATCGCCTAATATGGCTGTTTTTAGAGCCGCAACATATTTTCTGAAAAAAAAGGATGAGTCCTATTATATAGAGGGAATAAAACTTTAAAATCACACGATGGGATCCGTCGCTTTCAAGGCTGGTAATTGGGCTTACAGAATTAGGTAACGCTGCACTGCTGCACTAACGCTTTTAACACCGAAAATAATGTCAAGACCGCCATCCCTTGGAATGATTAGACCTAGAATCAATTCAAGTTTGAAGATCTATTGTCACATGAGTGTTTGCTCACACTGTTAGGAAGGAAGAAGGTGAACAGTGGTAGTTAAAGCGTCATGTTTAAAAATTGTGAATTTCCGGATTTAGGGTACTTGTAGCACTTTGTCTTCTTTGCGCCAAAACTATTTACGACATTTGATTATCTAATAGGTATTTTGAAAAGTATTACTTTCTAATTTTTGTACAAGCCTCGTTGAATTTGCTGTAATCTTTTTGACAACAGACAAAATTGCGGTTTAGCCGATTGCTGTACCGACATTAAGTGGACAAAATTTTCACCAGGCAGCAGCGGTGGCCGCAGTGGTAGACTCTTCGGTCTCCTGATCAGTCGCCGTGCGGGTTCGATTCCTGTCCCAGGAGAAACTTTTCCCTTGGCTATGGATGTTGTGATTGCCCGTAGGTGGTAGACGGTCTCTGACTGTCGAACGCGGAGGTACCACCCGGCGGATCTCGTAGGCAGAGCCAGAATGGTGCGTGTTGCATGCACACATGTTATCTCGCCTGTTGTCTTGCCAGAGTCCGTGTGGCGTTCCCGCTTTCATCTGTATCCCCTATAGCCCCCGGTACCCCGTGGGTGTTTAGGCTTTAGGCCTTCGTGGTAGTTGGAGTATAAAAAAACTCAGCTTTTTCCAGCAACACGTCATTTGGGAACATATCCTGCTAATCTGATTGAAAAATGACAATTTCAGAAAAAAATAGTGCAGTCTCAACAGTATTGGTTTTCCATAATTTCTTAAAAATGGCGATAACTCAAAAACCGTGCACAGTCGGATAAGCACATATATGGTTTTCCTGATTGCGAATGCCCCCCTATCATCCAGTTTCCTTTGCCCTATGACTTTTGAGACACCCTGTATTTCTTCTTCGACAAAAACAATGTTTTTATTGCCAGAACCGTATGTGCGTCAGAGAAGAAATACGACTTCCTGGTTGGTGGTGAGAGCAGCTTTATAGCTGATAACCGGCAGATAAAATAAAGGCCTATTATTATTTCACTAATTATCGGTTTATTTGTAATCTTACCTGCAGCTTTGTATATATAAAGCTATGTACAACCTTTCTCTAATTTAACTAGACTCGTATCCCTTCCCATTTCCGGGATCGCAATGTATATTATTAGGAGTTTTACGTTATTTTTGTTTTTATCAAATTCGAGATTCGACGTCAGCTTCGGCCAAAAAATTGGCTGCGGTCGGACCCTAAATATCACGTATAACAACAGCTTTTGTGAAAATTGACTGCAAAAGTCAGGAAGTAGGTATAGTAGTTGTATGAAGGAACGGTGTTTCTGATGCTTCTGTAACTTATTACTAGATATAAGTTTGAGTCGATTTATGAAGAATTTAATTCACAATGATTGCCATTTTGTAACAGATTAAGTGCTTGATGGTCAGCAAAAAAATTGCTAACATGTAGGTGTCAGACTCATGGAGGTTTTGTATTCTCTTACGCTTCCCAATAGGGAAAATATTCTCCTTTTTTATAGATGTATGGATTTTGTCAACGTATTGCTAGTTTCACACCAAACATCTTAGCACCTCATGAAACAGTCATTTTATTTTTAAGATTCGCCCAATTATGTACAATTTTGAGGCAAAACGAACATGTTGCGGTGCGAAAAAAATACACACAGATCTACTAGTCTCAGACGTCACAGACGTCAGATTATTTCACATTTCACATGTTCTCTAATACGTTACATAGAATGTACGAGGGGCATTTTTAAAGTAGGGCTTGGCATCCTTTCAACTCAGACACTTTTGGCAAGGCTTTATGAATTAACGTCTCTGTCGATGTTGGTTGTGTGCGTATACAGCTTTGTTTGACGCCATCTCACTTACTAGATCTGTCAATTCTCACTAGTTTCGATGGGAATTACAGGATCGTCCAACATACAGCCCCGACTTCGGATTCTCATCTTTTTCCAAAATCTAATGGAATTTCTTAGTGGAAAGTGCTTGGAAAATGTTGAAAGAAACAGTTAGAAACTGGTTTAACGGTCAGGCGGCAATGTTCTTTGACAACCGCATCCAGAAACTGATGCCACAAATTGACAGATGTTTAAAAGCCTGTGTTGACTATGTTGGAACATGAAAAAATTACGTTCATATATAAACTTCCTCTCGCTCCATTACAAGACGGTTTTTACTTAAAAATTGCCCTAGTACAAGGTATCTAACAGATAACGAACCACTGCAATTGTCTAGATCTAACAACCTTCATCAAAATTCTATTGTTTTTGCATCTTACGTAACCTTACCTCTGTTCATTTGTCAGTTACATTTTCCTCCATATTATAGTCCGACACTAGCGCTCCAAGCGACCATTGAGCACGACCAATGTCAGGTCTCATAGCCTAACGACATGGTAGCTTCAAAGAGATTATTACTCCATGATTTTTACATAAAATATGACTCACAGAAGCTGATGACATTGCGCTGATTTTTCTGTATGATTAAGGCGTAGATTTTTTTCATTTGTGAGAGATGAAACAATAACTGTGATCGAAATATTTAAGACTGTTATGTAAAATGTTGCTTACTAGCTATGCATGTATATTTATTTTTCCTTTATCTCTGTTCAATACCCATATAAATAAATGTACGATGTTATCGTTGTATGTTCTAATGTTGTGTAGAAAATGATATGATAAATATATATTATATGGTACACGTTTTATTTTGTTTTATTTCAACGTTGGACTGGCGGCGACAAACGGAGGTAAAATTTTTCTCCAACCATGGCCCTCGGCTGAACAACCGTATACAACTATGGACTTTCTTGCAAAGTACTTCGAGTAGTTACGCAGAATGTTTTTAAGGGCATTGGCAAATTATAAAGCAGTATGACCTGAATATACAGGGTGATCCAAAAGTCGTGTCCAAAACTGACACATCATAAACAGGACCGCATTTTAAGGGAGGTTCTATGTAGCATTTCTTCCTCGAGTGCTCGATACGGGGGTTGAAGTTTAAAAATAAAAAACAATTTTTTTAATATCTTCAAAACCGTCAACTGGAATCAACTAAAATTTGGTATGTGGATTTACCTAAGCTTAAGAGCGGATATACAATTAGTTTTAAAATAAAATAGGAGGCCAAATCAAATGTTTCCTTTTTCCATTTTTGAGTGACGTGAAATGGAATTTAGCAATGACGAGTACGCCGATATTATTTTTGTGTACGGGTTCTGTAATGGAAATACTTTAGCTTCTCGAGAGTATCAACGTAGATTTCCTAACAGACGCCAACCTACTCCAAATGTTTTTACACGTTCACTTTTAAGACAATATGGAATTGCCAAGCTTCCCGGAGTTAGAGGCCATGGTGTCCGGCAAACTGTTCAAGAGAAACTGGAAGTGATTAGTTGGGCGTTGGATGATCCTAGTACAAGAACTAGATGGACCGCAGCTCAGTTACCATGTTCCCAATGTCATGCGTGAAGAATTTTAAATCTGGAAGAAAATGTGCAATGTCTGCAGCCCGGCGACGAGATGCAACGGCGAAATTTTTGTGAGCGGTTTGATCGATTTGATTTTGTGGTCAGATGAATCGCCTTTCACGAGGAGTGGAACCTTTAATTCTCATAATGAACATCTGTGGTCCTTAGAAAATCTCCATTCCGTAAGAATCCACTCGTTCCAACACAGATTTTCTAGAGATGTCTGGTGCGGCGCTTTCAATGGAAAATTGTTCATGCACGTATTGCCACAACGGTCATATGCAAACTCATACTTAGCTTGTCTAGAGAATTACATAGAAATTCTGTTAGATGATGTGGTATCAGTACGACGCGACGGTGCCACACCGCATGTACCTCGTGACATAATAGTCCAAGAGCTAGTAACACACGTTCCATGAAGTGCTTGGTGCACCTTAAAATTTTGTATTATAGTGTCTATTGGATAGATGAGCAGGTGAGCAAGTGTTGGTTTGCACTACCTGGGGACACCAGGTACTGCGCATAGGAGAATGGTGTAAAGAAAAGCCCAAAAAAGTGTTTGTTTTAGAGACCATGAAATTTAAAGTCTCATAAAACACAAAAATTAGTAAGGCAGACACTTTTGACGGGGTTAACATTTAATAAAAACACCCCCAGGCTGTTTTTTTTAACCCTTAACTACCATGGCCAAAAATAGTAACATTTATACCATGGCAGAGTCAAATTTGCCCCACTGTTTTTTTTCACATAAAAAATCTAATTTTGTACCTTCTTTTTTTTGTTAAGTTATTCTGTTTTCAACTAGTTTTACAATTTTATAAAATAAAACGAATACGGTTAGTTATAACTTTATCAAAAAAACTTCGGTATTCAGTGAAATTAACAAAGATGTGCACTTTCTAAAATTATAAGAAAAATAATAAAAAATGTCAGTTCTCTTGTATTCAGTGGTGAATTTTAGGTATCACAGCTGCTACCTAAAATAAAAAAAAATGATTTAGATTTCGTATCTAAAAAATTACAAGCAGGTTTTTGACCTTACTTTTTAACGCAACTTGAATGAATAACGTCTTCGTGCGGGCATGATTTTTGCAAATAAATTCTCGACATTTATCGCACGATGAGCTTTCTTTTTTTTAATTTTTAGAATATGACCATATTTTACTCCTTCCCCTCCACTGGTTCCTGAAGTCCGGAAACTTTAAAAATGACACTACGAAGTTCTCTCGGTCAACATGCTGAGCTCTACGAGTTAAATGGTCCTTAATAAGTTCTTGATCTAAAGTATTTAGAAATAATTTTTTGCGCCTCCCTTTCAAGTTCTTTCTGTGTCAGAGCGAGTGTATTGCCATTGCATCCCGTCATTTCAAATTACTCGCTACTCGCACTAGAAACACTTATACCATAAACGGGTCAAATTTGACCCTACATGTGCCTAACTCTGCAGTGGTAACAGGTAAATTAATGGAATTTTTGTGGATCGATGTATCACCTACCGGTTGAAGATTAGCAGAACGCGTGCAGCGTGCCGTAAATATTTTGGTAGCGAAACTTAGCAAACAAGACGTCGAGGGTCATATTTGACCCGGCCATGGTACTTAAGGGTTAAATACAAAAATACAAATATACAAGTGTTTTATTCACGCTGACATTTTAACAGTGTCTTGATTTCATTTTATAAAAAATAATTACAAAAAGGCAAACATTTTTTTTTTTGGGTTTAATTGTTGGAAAACATGAAAATAAATATTAATTTCAATAGAGAGAAACAGGCAGCGCGTAGTCGTGGATGTGAGTGAGAGCACCGGCTACCGGCGTAGCTACGGTCTTTCTTTTTAAGAAAGGCAGAAAAGAGCATTTTAAATCATTGTCAAAAATGTGGATTATCAGAACGCACTAATTGATCTTGCAAAGTCTGATGTGCCTGGATTGCAATATGAAACGTTTGTAATCCTGGAATTTTTGTGGATCGATAAATCACATACCGGTTGAAGATTAGCAGAACGCGTGCAGCGTGCCATAAATATTTTGGTAGCGAAACTTAGCATACAAACCTTGGAGGGTCATATTTGACCCGGCCATGGTACTTAAGGGTTAAATACAAAAATACAAAAATACAAGTGTTTTATTCACGCTGACATTTTAACAGTGTCTTGATTTCATTTTATAAAAAATAATTACAAAAAGGCAAACATTTTTTTTTTGGGTTTAATTGTTGGAAAACATGAAAATAAATATTAATTTCAATAGAGAGAAACAGGCAGCGCGTAGTCGTGGATGTGAGTGAGAGCACCGGCTACCGGCGTAGCTACGGTTTTTCTTTTTTAAGAAAGGCAGAAAAGAGCATTTCAAATCATTGTCAAAAAGGTGGATTATCAGAACGCACTAATTGATCTTGCAAAGTCTGATGTGCCTGGATTGCAATATGAAACGTTTGTAATCCTGGAAAAACTGTGAATTATACCGCTACAAAAACATTACAGATGTTAATAATACACGGTTTCAAAAGTTGTGTTCTACTTATAAGTCGAAGAGTACCGATGAACCTTTTCAGAAAACTCTGCTTAAATGTGATGCGTCTAATTTACCACCGTGTAACGCTGAACTTCACCAACATCTTTTGCGGACGCAATACATAACAAGTATTTGTGTAACGCACATCTGAAAACTCCAACATTTTTGTTGCCTGGAAGACACGGTTGGACTATAACAGATGAAAAGTACGAATTTAAGTGGTTTGAGGGTGATTGTATTCCACAAACGGCTTTGGAAGCAATTAAAACTGGCCAAACTCCTGAAAACAGCGCCAGTAACGAAGGTTTGTATTTTTTTACTTCGTTTTGTTACATGCTAAAGGTGAAAATTAAAAATTAACTTTAACTTTCAAATTACCTATATTTTTTATAGTTATAGTAAATGAATAAAACTTCTCATTAATACTAGCCATAGGATTTTTAATGCTAACCCCAAGCAGACATTCTTTTCTTAAATGTGATAAACTATTAATGCAATTGCTTTCATTATTATTATTATTGCACTAGTCATCTTGAGAGATTAAAAGTTTAAAAATATCGATATTTTTTATGTTACTTTAAAATTGAATTTAAAGACAGTACAGCTGTACAAAAACACCTGACCAACAGCCAATCTCTCTCTCTCTCTATTGAAATTAATATTTATTTTCATGTTTTCCAGTAATCA